TTTTATGAAGGAATTTTCCCTCATATCCAACCTAAACCTCCCCTGGGGTGACCTGAGCTCACTCCCTTAAATGGTGCTGGGGGCTTGGACAAGAGATGTGCTTAGGCAGTAAAATAATTCCAGAATCGGGGCTCAGAACTCTTCTAATATATCTGTGTCCATATCTATTTATCTGTATCTGTCTATATAAATATATATTTAATATAAATATTGTACAAATATATATGTATATATCACCTCTAATACCCCGAAACACCACCTCATTCTGCAGTTGGGCTGAAGAGGAACATTTTAAACCCAGAACATCCACAGGCAGTTGCAAATCAGCCAAATTATCTTGCAGAGCTGTGGCAGGAGCTGTGCTGAGGAGCTCCATGCTCCACATGCACCAGGAGATGAGGACCCAACTCCACGGCCCTCTGGAGAAGGATAAAAACACGGAGGGTGTCTGCTCCCAGAAATCCTGCTGGAATCAATCCACTGGGGATGAACACATCCCAGAAACAAAACCAGATTTCCGTGGGAAGGGGCTGCAGAGCAGGGGTTGGCCCCTCCTGGCCCCGTGTGAGGGGAAGGGACGGAATTAACAAGGAAAATCTCCGCACATTAAGTACGAAAATCGAACTATAAGAGAAAAAAGCTTTTTTAACCAAATCCGACCCCGATCTGTCCCTGCTGTTCACCCCCTCCTTTCAAAGATAAACTCCGAGGAGATAATGGCTCCCAAAAATCATCAGTTTGCCACGATAACTGTGTGATTTTGGGTGTCTCGGGGCTACCCGTGAGATCGCTCTGGACGGCGCTTCAGGTTTTACAAATATCTTAATTGGAGCGCTAATTACCTCACAAAAAGCACTTTTTCGTTATGCAGCTGTGATTCCAGCAAACATCTGGAGCCCAAGTGAAGGTCTCTTTCATGGAGCATCAAAGCAGGAAGGAGATGACCAGAGGACAGATGGATCCAGGCCGTGGGTCCCCCCCACGTCAGCCCGGGTGTTTAATTAATTCATTAGTTAACACAGAGCTGATTAGCTGAACAGGGAACGCCCAGTCAGACTGCACAGCCTCAGATGTACTAATTCCTCATGGATTTCTCTGCCTGGCTCAAGCAGGAAAGCCAAAACTATCCCTGGAAGTGTTCAAGGCCAGGTTGGAGCAACCTGGTCTAGTGCAAGGCGTCCCTGCCCAGGACAATGAAATGGTCTTTAAGGTCTTCTTGTATTATTATTATTATTATTGTTATTATTATTATTATTATTATTATTATTATTATTATTATTATTATTATTATTATACTTCATATAATAAATATGTATGTAATCCTAATTTTATATGATTTATATATCTATTATATAGTGATATAAATGTACTGAAACATAATGATAATTAAGAATTAATAATTTAATATAATACTAAAATAATACTAAAATACAATAATAATAATAGTAATAGTAATAGTAATAATAATAATAATGATAATAATAATAATAATAATAA